GCAAAAAAAAAAAAAAAAAAAAAAAAAGGACAAAATCCAAAGCAAAAAGCATTAAAGGAAATAAACAGGAATATTTAAACCTAATAAAAGGTGCAACTCCCCCAGGAGGCTGTAGTGGTGACAAATATGAACATTTGTGCACCTAACTGCATAGCCTGGAAATGTGTGAGGCCGAGACTGACAGAGATGCAAGAGAAACTGATCATCTGCAGTCACTGTGGGAGGCTTTAAGCTAAAAGTGAGCAGATCACCCAGAGATAAGGCCAAATAGACTGCGAGGAACCCAAAATTAGGCTCACAGTATGTGAGCTCTGTATCCATGCCTATAATAGTGCTAGAGGGAAATTATTAAAATATTAATGGATTGTTCTGGAGTTGGAAGACTATACGTGTTCTTTTCTCTTTCTACTTTTCTGCATTTTTCCATAATGGACATTCACTTTTACGATGGAAAAGAAAAAAGTTCATGTCTAAAGAGAATGAGGGGCTACATCATAGCGTCATGTATACAACATTCCATAACATGTGCTGAACTGACTCATCTAGATGAGTCCACCAGCCGTGCACAGCTGTGGACAGGGAGAGGCAGGGCTCAGTGAGTGACTGGCCAAAGGCGAGCTTGCCTTCCTCACTCCACACCAGAGGAGCACATGAGGGCCCCTTTCAGAGCTGGGCCAAATTTTCCTCTCAGGCAGGCCAGGGAGGGGATTTATAGGCTCAGAGGGATCCAGACATCTGTGCTTGAGTCTACCGGCAGTGCTAACCTTCCTGGTGAGAAGCAGACAGAGCCCCGTGCAGTCGGGCTGTCCCTCCCCAACGTCCACAAATGCCGCCTTTGTGCTGAGGCCCAAGCCCCCAGCCCATATGGGCACAGGAAGCCAGAGAGAACAAATCCTGCAGTGTCTTGCTGCACTGTGGCTGCAAGGACCATTCACATGTGTGACTGGGGCTTTAACATTTTTGGAAGTGGCTGCCAGCCCAGAGCTCTCCTGATATCCTCATGGGCTAACCTGTGGTCTCCCGAGGAGCCAGCGGAAGGACTGCTAAGTGTTCCCGCATTGATTAAAGCACTGTGTTTGGGCTTAAATCATCTCTTCTATAATTAAAGGAATACAATCTGAGAGACATAAGTGAATATCCAAAGGGATCCATACATCTCTAAGGTATCAGAAGCCAGGGAAAAGGAATACTGCAACAGAGAACCAAGCTGCTCAATTACAGCCTGAGTCATTTTTGGAATAGAAAAGGTGTAAATAATACACACACAGGGGTAAGGAATGGATGGCTCCTGAGAGATTTTGGGCAGCCGATATACTCTTTGTTCTGTTTCTCTCTTATTGGAAAGGGAACCAAGACTTAAACAAAATGGGAGAGGATGTGAAGTGAGCCCAGTGAGCACCCCTATGAGGCCAGCTCTTCCCCCTCATCCTTACTGCTCTCAGGTCACATCAAATTAGTATTCAGCTGGGTGCAGTGGCTCACGCCTGTAATCCCAGCACTTTGGGAGGTTGAGGTAGCAGATCACCTAAGGTCACCACTTTGAGACCAGCCTGGCCAACATGGTGAAACCCCACCTCTACTAAAAATACAAAAATTAGGTATCATGGTGGGCACCTGTAATCCCAGCTACTTGGGAGGCTGAGGCAGGAGAATTGCTTGAACTCAGGAGGCAAAGGTTGCAGTGAAGTGAGATCATGCCACTGCACTGCAGCCTGGGTGACAGGGCAAGACTCCGTCTCAAAAATAAAATAAAAAAAAAAATAAATTAGCACCCTCTCTCATTCTAGCTGGTGAGGGAAACTATTATTGACATGCTAGGACTGGAAATAACGTCAGAGAAGTTGCACTGTGGGCATCAAGGTGAGTTACAGGAAGACATGTGGGGACAAGCTGGCATTCTCCATGCTTTGCAGATCATTCTGCAAACATGGCAGCTAGCTTTGCATATAACCTCAGGGACATATTTCCATTCACTGACTCCGCCGCAAGGACACACTCAAACATAAGCATATTGCTCAATTCTCTCCATATCTATGTATATTACCATTATGAATAACTCTTGTTTCTGCTGAGTTGTTTCTGGCCAATATATAAAGCTTAGAGTAAGCTATTTATCATGATATTTGAAAAAATTAAATTAAAAAATTATTTTGTACTTTGAGAGGCTGAGGCAGGTGGATCACTTTAGGTTAGGAGTTTGAGACCAGCCTGACCAGCATGGAGAAACCCCATCTCTACTAAAAATTCAAAAAAATTAGCCAAGTGTGGTGGCAGGTGCCTATAATCCCAGTTACTTGGGAGGCTGAGGCAGGAGAATCGCTTGAACCTGGGAGGTGGAGGTTACAGCGAGCTGAGGTCATGCCATTGCATTCCAGCCCGGGCAACAAGAACAAAACTCAGTTTCAAAAAACAAAAATTATTTTGCCAAAAAGAATCTTTGGGGTTTTAAAAACCAATTTCTACATGTCAGATCCTCTCTTGGGTCTGGCTTTCTCATCCTTGCTTGGCCTCAGTCTGCTGGATTTCAGACATGGCTTGATTTCTTTCTGTTCCAGTTCTCTAGGTCAATGCAAGTGTCCAAGGTGAGCAAATGTTTCCTGCATTGTTATCTGTGAAGGATCCCCAGAAACAGAAGAAAAGGAATTTTGCCTGGGAAGCCAAAAGGAAGATTTTGAAGATATGATAATGGATATTAAAGCAGCGAGGGCTGGGCTATAGCAGAAGGCACAGACTGTGCTCTTTGTAAGCCTGGGAGCACAAACACAAAAAGCCTACGGACCAGACAAGGCAATGACAGAGAGTAAAGGGCCAGGTGTTAGAAGGGCAATTGGGAGAGGTGGGAACATTTGTAGGTGACAGTTGGCTGGCTGCTTAGGTCTAGCTCATTACTGCCACATGGGATCACAGCATTGCAGCAAACCTACCAAAAGGTAATTCTATAATATCTGGAACGTAGCAATATGAGGGCAGGAAGAAGAGCCTGATGCATGATGAGGGCTCACTCAACAGTTATTAAATGAATGAGGACCTTCCCAGGCAGAGGGTGGACTGTCCTGTGATCCATAATGGGAAGAGACGGCTGGTAATGTAGAGGTCTCACAATCAAGGGAGGAAATAATTGCAGAGTGAACTTGAGGCACAGCCATTGAAATGGAGAGGAAAGGGTGAAATGTAGTAGACAGGCTAAAGAATTTTCAAAAAGCAGTACTCAGTGAAAGACCAGATGTGCAGGACTAGGGCGGTGATGAATCTTCCAGGGGATGCCTGCAATGAACTTGTCTAGAGGGCTGAAGGACTGGTCACAAGGGAGAGAAGGTAAACACATTCTTCCATTCTTCTTCACTAGTTTCAAAGCCCTTCATGTTACTCTCCCAGACAACCTTATTTTCTCTTTCCTCTGTTCTCCCACAAAAGGGATCAGGGGATTAACCAGGGATCCAGAGGCCCAAGCACTGAGAGAAACAGATGCAAATTAGGTGATGAGGTATTCATTCAGGGGAAACTGCAACAGAGTTAACAAAGATCAGGGCAGGGCAGGGGAAAATCACTGGAGAGGAAGGGCATCTACGGGAAAGTAGCAAGAACCACTTGGGCCATGTGAAGTCATGACGTATTGGCCGTATGGTAGGGAGGCAAGGACAGAAAGGGCTGAGGGAGCACCCCAAATAGTTCTCAAGTCATGGATTTTCACAGCATGAGGCAAAACTCGGGTTCTGGTCCCCAGTTTTCTTAAAGACTCGGAAAGCATAGATAAAAAATATTGCCAAGCAAAAGTATTCAGGACAAATACATGGCAGACTCAAGACTGCTGCTCAGCTAAACCAGGTGAGTCTTTCAATGGCATACTTTTTGTGGGCTTCAGTCTAAGATAAAATTTGTATAACGATCAAATTGGGTCCAAGGCCTTGGATAAATCTCAGTGTTCACTTTAAAAGATACACTTCATCAACAGTTTAAGAACAACTACAACTACTTGTTAACTAAAAAACTATTATAGTAGCTAATATTTACTACTTAGTTAACTAATTCAAAGATTAATGATTGCTAACTAAGGGCCAAAACATTATGCTAGGCCCTTTAAGTGCACTGTCTTGTAAATCTTTACAATGATTCCATGAAGGCTTGGTGGCATCACGGCAAATTTACCCATAAGGAATAATAAAAGCAAGATCTATCTATAGGACTAAGTATGGAAAAAATTTTAAAAATAAAAAAGTAAAAGCAAGACCTAGAGATGTTAAGTCACCTGCCCAAGGTGAGCCAAGGTTAGAACCAAGGTACTTCTACTCCGAGGTATGTAGGTCCTCATTCTAAGCCTAGGGTCAGCAAACATCTTATGTAAAGGGCCAGATGGTAAATATTTTTGGCTTTGTGGGCAACATGGTCTCTGTCACAACTACTCAATTATGCCATAGTAAAAAGCAGCTATAGACAATAAACAGATGGGCATGGCCATGTTCCAACCAAACTTTATTTATGGATACTGAAATTTGAATTTCATGTAGTTTTCACGTGTCATGGAACAGCACCATTCTTTCAATTTCCCCCCAAGAATTTGAAAAAGTAAAAATCAGGCTTAGCTTGCAAGCCATAAAAAAACAGGTGGTGAACTGGAGTTTCTCCACAAAATGCAGTTTGCTGACCCTGGTCAAAGCCACTAGGCTCTGTTGCCTGCCAGCTAACATCCTGTGCTGGTTTGAGCAGGAGGCCCATAGATATTTTAGGAAAAAATCCCATGAGAGTACATCTGGATGGGGCACATAACTGTGAAATACAATTGTGAGGAAAGGCCCAACTACAATAGCTCTGGCTTTGTATCACCTTTGACTGCAACTTAAAAACACCTTTCTTCCTCCAGGACCCCTCACTTGAGCTCTTCTATGGCAATAAGCACTGATTCAGGTCACTCTGAAACCAGAGGAAATTCTGGGTAGTATGGGGATGTTCCCTCCCGTACTCCATGATTTTCTGCGACCATAGGCCCTGTGTGCCCTTCTTACCTGCAGGGTTTGACCAAAGCGCTTTAACGGTGTGGCCTTCACAGGTGGGATGAGGTTTGCTAGTGACGTGACTCTTGAAAGGGGTTTGACCCGTTTATTACTAGGCTCCTATAGGGTTAAAAAAAAAAAAAAAAAAAGGTAAAATATCAAGGTCAATTGCAAAGACAACATAACTCCACCATAAAACTGTGTTCCACTCTATGAGGTGCTGGCTGTACACTGATCTATGGAGTATAAACCGTATCACATCTCACTCTGGCTGTACGGAGATGGCCTGGCTTAGGAGGCAGGGAAGGAGAAATGGCAGGCAGGGGATGTCAACAGAGGCAGCATCTGGGAGGACAGAAAAGGGGAAGGGATCTGCTCCTTATCCCTCACCCCCAGTTTCTGCCAGCTTTAAATTCAGAAGCTTCCACTTAGTAGAACTAGTCTCTCCATCCCTTTTGTAGAGAAAAGCAGCCTCTGATTTCTCACCCAATGACCTTGTCTTTTGTGGCTCTGGTTTCATCTTTTTAAAAGCCTTTTCCCCACCTTGCCTAAAGCCACTCTTATGCAATGGCTTCCCTAAAGCACCAAGATTGTTTTCTTAGTTCACTAAATTAAAAATATTTTTTTTTTTAAAAATAAGTTCTATTATTGGGCTCTTAAGAAAGCATCTTTGTATTTGCAGTATATTTGAAACACACATATTAATATTTATAAATTATAATCAGACAGCAAAAGAAAATGTATAGAGAAAAAGCCCTACATGGACATCGGTTTCTATACTATATATGGCCACAAGTTTTAAAAATAATCTCCATATAAACCATTATTTGTAAATCTGCAAGTTACTTCAAACCAGGTTGATAGATGGGAGGGAGCCTACCCATTCCAAGGACTTTGCAGACAAGAATTACATAAACAAAAACACAGGCTGGCTGGGAGGGGTGGCTCATGCCTGTAATCCCAGCACATGGGGAAGCCGAGGTGGGTGGATCATGAGGTCAGGAGTTCAAGACCAGCCTAGCCAGGATGGTGAAACCCCATCTCTACTAAAAACACAAAAATTAGCCAGGCGTTGTGGCAGTAGCCTGTAATCCCAGCTCCTCAGGAGGCTGAGGCAGAGAATTGCTTGAACTCAGGAGACGGAGGCTGCAGTGAGCCAAGATCGTGCCATGCACTCCAGCCTAGGTGACAGAGCGAGACTCCATCGCAACAAAACAAAACAAAACAAAACAAAAAACAGACTATGGGAAAAAGAATGAAGACAGACAAAACATTTTACAAAGACAAAGAGAACAGTTACCCTTGTCCTTCTAAGCTCCATATGACCTGTAGTAGATGCCGGACAGCACATGAAGACACCAAATTTTGACAGACAAAGCCAAAGTAGCCAATTGCGATGGCAAACCTCAATCATTTCCAGAGGGAGCCTCTAGGTATTCATCTTTCCTTTTCAGCCATTGCTTTCAAAGTTTCAAGGGTTAAGCCCGAACTTCAGATTCTCCAGAACATCTCTGCATCCCTGTTCTGAACATAGTAGATGCTTGAAAAAATCTTTCATGAATTTGGAATCCTGCTGAGAAACTCTCATGTCATTTTATGCCCTTGCCAGTCTCAGAAATCAAAAGCCTTCTTTGAAATAGACTGTCTCCAAGCTTTCCGGCATTTCCATATAAAAATTTAAAAACTAAAAAAAAAAAAAAAAATCAATACAATCCCACAATGTGGCCAGGAATGATTTCACGATTTCTCAAACCAAATATTTTTCCAAGACAGAGAATGCAACCAGCCTGCTGGGTACCTCTCCAGCTTCTTAGCGTGCTAAGCTGAACAGATAGCAGAAAACTCTCAGAACACTAGGAAGGCTCAGTTCCAAAATGCAGAGGATGAATCTCCCAAGATGAGAGCCATTCCATGAAAATGATTTAACTGCAGAAGGGAAAGATCTGACAGCTCTTCTGCTTCAGGTGACAATGCCCTTCAGGATGCTCCCTGTCCAGTGCCAGGCTCTTGAGCATTTGTGCCCAGAGGAGGGTTGAAAACATTTTTTTACGTCAGAGCTGCACCGTTGGCATATGGAATACACGCACACATACGTACGAGTGCACGCACACGCGCGCGCACACACACGCCACCTCTTAAGCATCCCCTGAATTTGTCTCAATGGCTCCTGCTTTGGGCTGAAAATGCCAGACTGGTGGCACAAACTGCATTATAGCAAGTGAGGCAACAAGGATTCCCTGAGGAAGCAGGACCTGGTCTCAAAGAATCCTGCTCACTGACTCTGAGTCTTTCTCTTTCACTCTCTTTTTTTTTATGGTTAAAGCTGATGGGTCACAGATTTTTGTAATCAGAATGCGGGGGTTGAAAGGCAAATGCCAACTGGGTTCTCTTGTTTTAAAAAGGGGCCAGAGAGCACTGCACACTTGGCAGGATGGGGGATGATCTAGCCGTGTTCCACTTGCTGTGTCATCTTTTCTAAGTTTCTGCTGACTTTGCTGTCCATTTTACATGACCCAGTCGGACAGGCATTTTCTGCACAGCTACAAGAAGTATGTACAACACAAATGCCAGCCTCTCTGCAGGTTGAGTGTAGTGCTGCTATGTGAGATTGTAATTAAAACTGATTTCCTAAGTCATTGCCGATTTGGATGTAAACATCAGGCTGCTCTCTGGCAACCTGACATTCCCAAGTAATGAAGAATTGAACCAGAAGCCGTTGCTGTGTGATTTAGTGCTATGATCCAGCAATGTAAGCAGGTGCAATTTCAAAACCAGAACACTTACAGGTTATTGGATCTATGGGGGAGGCTTTATGCCTAACCCACATGAGTAAAGTATGAATTATGGTGTTCTCCTTGAGGGTTTCTGAGAGAACAGGAGATTAAAAAAATTCCTGGCCTCATTTGATTTTTCTTTTCCATTTACTCAGTATGTCTCCAGCTACATTTTACTGCTGTCTAAAGAGAGCCCTCAGGGAAAATGTTTCCAGATTCTTGTTAAATAGCTCTACTGAAAACTAGCAAATGCAGATGCTTTCAGGCTTTACAGAGAGATAACAGAACACAACCTGCAGAGACGCTTCCTAGTCCAGCAACTCAGCTGCCAGACCAAGCTGGGCAAGGTTAATGCTAAACCCAGGAATAAAGTGTCTTGTTTCAAGTGCAGACACCACCCTCCACCACTTGATTTTAAAACAGGGCACTTTGGGAAGCCGAGGCAGACAGATTGCCTAAGCTTAGGAATTCGAGACCAACCTGGGCAACATGGTGAAACCCCATCTCTACTAAAATACAGAAAATTAGCCAGGCATGGCAGCATGTGCCTGTAGTCCCAGCTACTCCAGAGGCAGGAGAATTGCTTCAACTGAGGAGGCAGAGGTTACAGTGAGCCTGGGCGACGAAGGGAGACTCCATCTCAAAAAAAAAAAAAAAAAAAGATAGGGCAGGAGGGTATCTCACTAAAGTTTAAAAAAAAAGAAAAGAAAAAAAGGCACTGAGCATTCTGTATAGACAGTATTTTGTGAATAACAACAGTTTTGTTTCATCTTTTCCAGGTCTTATAACTTTTCGTTTCTCTTGTCTTATTGCACTGGCTAGAACCACCTGTATATATATTGCTGATTGCAAGCCTAGTGGGTATACGAGTTTAATGCTTGGTTCTAAAGTGGTTATTAATAAGATTTCATCATTAAATATTTGCTAAGAGCAGGGGAGATACACCCTTTATCAAGTAGAGAAAGTTCCTTTCTGTACCAACTTTGCTATAAATTTTTATCATGAATTGGCAGTGGCTTTTTATCAAATGTTTGTTCTTCATTTAGAGGACAAGGTAAAAAAAGGGAAGGGAAGAAAAGAAGGGAGGGGTGGAAAGAAGAAAAGGAGAGAATAAAGAAAGGCATACAGGTCATTTTTTCCATAAAGAAATTGATTTAGTAATTGAAAATATGTCTTGCATTTAATTACAAACAAAGGAGAATAAAACACTCCATGTGATTTTATTCTTAATATGAGTTTTTTTTTATTAAATGGATTTTGATATTCCTTTTCTAGGGGATACAATGATTTGTATTCTCTCCGCATTCTTCCCCTCAACGGGTAAAAGCCAAAGCAGATTGTATGCAATGTAAAAAAATTGACTATTGGATCAATATAATCTAGCATACTTTTTCATTCCTTCAAAAATAGTTCCATTGAAATAGACATGGCATATAGGAACTCCCCACTCATTTTCCCTGCACTTCCTTTTTGCAGCCAGAGTCGGGTGGGGAATAGCAGGAATATCAACCACATCATGTCTGTAGTTAGTTGCCCCTACTAAGCCTCAAACATGGTCCAGGAGAGGCTGGCAGAAGGACTCAGGCTGCTGTACTGCAGGGCAGTGTGGCTCTCAGCTGCTTTACAAATGGCCAGGAGCAAGAGACAGGTGAGAATTGATTGTGCTAGCAGACACTCTTGCCTGTGAGTTAATGGAGCCAAATAAAAAAACCTTTCAAATGTCTGGAAATTCCAGGAAAGCCTTTTCAGGGTTCTATCTGTGTGCCAGGCGGTGTGTGGAAACTGCACTCCCAAGGGTCGAGTTTAATCCACCCAGGAACCTTCTAGGTGGCTTTCATTGTCCTCAAGTTAAACAGGAAGTTACAATCTTACAGTGACTGAGAAACGCTAGCATAAACAATAATAATGAGCTAATCCTGGTAGCAGGAACTCAGCTCAGTGCTTTACATATAGTTGCAAAATTAATCCTACTCACATCCTTACAAAGTTAACTACTATTACGAAACTAAGGCATGCAGTACAGCAATTTGCTCAAAGCCATGCAGCTAAAACAAGGTGACCAGGATGTAAACACAGTCAGGCTGACTCCAGAGCCCATGCCCTACACCAGGGCCTGACTAACTTTTTCTGTAAGGGGCTACCCAGCCTCTGTCATGACTACTCATTTCTGCTGTCAAACACAAACAATCTGTAAATAAATGAATGTGGCTATATCCTATTAAACATTTATTTATGAACACTAAAATTTAAATTTCATAGTTTTCATGTCACAAAATATTCTTTGAGACAGAGTCTTGCTCTGTCACTCAGGCTGGTGGGCAGTGGCACGATCACAACTTACTACAGCCTCAACCTCCCGGGCTCAAGGGGATCCTTCCACCTCAGCCTCTCAAGAAGCTGGGGCTACAGGTGCTCACCACTATGCCTGGCCAAATTTTCAAAAATTTTTTAGAGAAGGGGTCTTGTCATGTTTCCCAGGCTGGTCTCAACCTCCTGGGCTCAAGCAATTCTCCCGCCTCAGCTTCCCAAAGTGCTGAGGGTTACAGGCATGAGCCACTATGCCCCACTTACAAAATATTATTCTTCTGATATTTTTCAATCATTACAACATGTAGGTGCTATTCTTAGCTTGAGGTCCATAAGAAGTCAGCTGTATTCAGTCTTCAGGCCGTAGTCTGCTGACTGTTGTTTGCTGACCGGTCATGTCCCTGGTCAGTGATTCTCAGCCTGAGATTTTCTACTGTAACATAACCCAACACAACACTCCCAGGCACTGCACTCCCCCATACGCACACCTAGTCATCGTCAGGCTCCAGTAGACGGCACAAGCTTGATCTGCATATTCTCCCTGCAGCTGGACATGTAGGGTCCTCCCTGATAAGCAGGGGAAACACTTGACTTACTTTTCATGTGAGTAAACCCTATTTTATTGCATTTTATTCTCTTAACTTTCTAAACACAATGTCAACTTCCCTTGACCATTTTAATATATATATGAACTAAGGACATAAAAAATGGCATGATGCGTGGGATCTACTTCAAAATAATGACATTGGAGAAAGAGGAAAACAGGACTGGTCACAGGTTGGTAGTTGTAAAAGCTAGGTGCTGGACACAGGTACAGACAAAATACATGTCAAATGGTACATATATTTAGTACATGGCTTCCTATGGTACATGTCAAAAAGTTCTTTTCTTTAATGGACACAAAATTGTTTTCCAAGTGTGCCAGTGAATGCTGAACTGGCGTAGACCAGTGCCATCTGTGATTAAAAAAAAAAAAA